CAACTAAGCTAGAATAGAGGTGGTCTTTATCTTATCTTTTCTTTTTTTTTTTTTTTTTAAAAATAATTCTCTATTACAACAGTAAGAATAAAATGTACACGGATTGTAAACCTCAGACAGTGCACTTCATAAAGAAAAGAAGTTTGATTGGTCATCGTGGGTTTTTAACAGTGGTTTCCTTTTTGCTTTTTTCTGGGGGGGGGGGGGGGGGGTTCGTTTTTTTCCTTTGGGGGAAGGGATTTTTTTGTTTTTGTTGTTTCTTTTCCTTCAGTTAAAAAAATTGCTTATTAGAATGTTTCTTTTATCTATTCTTAACTTTTAAAAAACCAATATTTTCTCCTTTTTGCTGTTTTTCCCCCCTACAGACTCGAGTCTGGACTCGAGTCCAGACTCGAGTCCTTACTCGAGTAATTTACTTGTGACTCGAGTCTGGACTCGCTGCATGTATTACTCGAGTACTCGAGTCTGGACTCGTTACTCGCACACCTCTAGTTTGTATTGTAAGAAAAAAATGGCGGATCCAAATGAGTGGCGAACTCAGGCTTTTCGCACGAGAATAGTCAACAAACTGTAAGTAGATCTAGGTATATCTAGATTAGGTCTTGTATTTCTCCGGGGATTTTTTTTCTCTTTTGCATAAAATTTAGCTTACGCCAATTTCTACCTTGTATAGCATTGCTTTAAATCCTTAGCCTTAGCGCTATGGTTCTTGATTTTGATGAGTGCGAACTGCGCTGCATTGGAAGTGGAGCGGGCAGTGCCTCAGCGTTCTCATACAATAACAAACGCAGTTTACGCAGTGACTGAACAATGTTTTGTGAATTGTTGTTTTACCTTTTTGACGCTATCATCCGTTTATTTTATTATTTTTTGGCTGGATTGTAGCCTACTTTAAAAAGACCACCCGTCTGAGCCGTCTCGGCCCGTGATTACGCATGCCTAGCCTAACTACGCCTACGCACTCATAGTTATAGTATGTCTCATAGTGATAGAAGATATCTAGATCTAGATCTAGATCTAGTTCTCTACGTGCGGACAAAAGATAGGCTAGATCCGCGGGCGACTTCACATTCACGCACAGCGCAAGCCAGCGGCGAGACGAGGTGAGCGAGAGGCGGTTGTTGAGGGTGGGTAGGAGATTTTAAGTTATTTAACTTATGGGCCATGGTGGACCACTGAGTAGATCTATCCAACAGTGGGGGGGCTTGTCCAAACAATAATATGAGCAGACCACGGACTATGGACTGATGATGGAGCTAAGTGGACAATCGGGGTAGATCGAATTAGAGTTGGAGTTGGAACAGGTCGAGCCTTGCTTTGCAGCACTCGCCAAGTCGCTAGCAGGGCTGAGGGTGTTGCAATTAAATGCAAATGAGCTCTCATGCGTATCTCTCGCCCTCCATTGTACTTTGCAGGCCTAGGGGCCTAGCCTTGCAGAGTCGCGTGCAAATAAGAATGGCCGTCGTTATTCGGACTCGAGTCCAAATAACATTTTTTCATATTCGGACTCGAGTCGGAATTTAAAAATGTCTTATTCGGACTCGAGTCCGAATATGAAAAAATGTTATATTCGGACTCGGGTCCGGAAAAAAGGAAGTGTCTTCTTTCTATAGATCTAACGTTTCAGTGCTTCCAATTTTCCGCCTTTTTTTAGTTTCCCCCACACCTTTTCTGCCGATCCGGTGCCCGCCGCCTCATTGATACGCCCCTCCCCCCACCCCACCCCCATGTTTCCCACTTTCTTTGTTGTAGAAAAAGGTAAAATTGAAGATTAGCAGACCACCTGGCACCTGCATATTATGAGCTGTGTAAAAAAAAAAAAGACCAATTCGTTCAAATACACACAAGCCTGTGTCATCTCGATTGTTTACCAAGAAAAAGTTGTGTTGCTGTGTAGAGCCAGCTGAGCGCACGGCAACTTTTGATTCCATAGACCAGCGCACAATTCATTACGTAGATTTACGTCAAGATTAGCTTATTATTGTAAAAATGATGAGTTGCCAGAGGGAAAAAGACTGACGCGTATGCGACGTTCAACGCCCGGACCGATAGTGCCCCTCCCTGACACGCACACAGCCACACGTGTGCAGGCCGCCCATCCGACCCCGACACACGCTAACGAGCCATCTTTAATTGCTTCTGATGATCTCTTGACAAATAAACATATTTATTAGAAGCGCTATAACTTTTCAGGCCGGCCTCAAATTCATCATAAGATAACAACTCGACTCCTGCACAAAACGCCTTTTTGCCCGAAGTAATCCCGGTCTCTACCCAGCCTGAGGCGAGTCACTGGTGAGGCAGGACAGGAAGCCGGAGTCACGAGTCACAGGAAGTCGGAAGTGATGTCATGCTGGGCAAGAATCAGAGTCCGAATAACATTTTTTCATATTCGGACTCGAGTCCGAATAATCACTTCGAATAAGAATAGTGGACCGCATGATTAGATTGACCAATTAGCCTCAAGTTGTCAGGGTCGTGGGTCAAAGGGCATGGTGGCATGGTCGTGATGACTGAAAATCTTTGTAAGAGACGTCAGTCGGTTGTTGTCAGTCAAAGGGGGAAGACGTAGAAAAATGAGTAGGAGAGTGAGTTGGGGAGCTCGGTAAGGAAGAATAGCAGGCCCCCAGGCACTAGGGGCGCCATAGTGAAAGTAGTTCCAACCGATGGTCCGGTAAAGTACAATCTTACCTAGTTTTATTTTTATCGCAGTAACTAGATCTAGATCTATCTGATCTGGATTAGATCTAGATCTAGTAACTTAGTTTGCAGGTTACGTTCACTGACAAGCGGATAGCTAGAGAACGACAACTAAACGCCGTTGACCGATATTTATTGTAACTGCCATCTTGTTTGACCTCCTAAGGGGGATGCCCGCCGTGTCATCTGATCATGAATCTAAAATTAGTCATGATTTTGCATCGCACGCGGTTTGCTCTGGCTGTTTCCAAGCTTCCCTCTTTGAGTCTTTCCAACTGGTTCCCACTAGATCTAGATCTAGTCCTAGTATACACTGCTTTTGCATCTCACAGTATCCATTTGCAAACCTTGCAGTCTCGAATTAGGTCTACTCCATTTGTAGCTCAGGATCCTATTGAGTCCAATCTCTCGTAAGTGCTTAATTTTTTGTGCTTACAAAACTTTAAAAGAATGAAGTGGCTATTTCTCCGAACGCTCGGGATAATAAACTTGAACTCTATTTCTCCGAACGGTTTCCGTTCTCGAGGCGGTTTCCGTTCTCGAGTTTTGTTGGTTATTTGCGAGAGTTCAGCATCATCTTTCATTCTGCCTTTCTGCGAGTACTGGGAAGAAGCATTTTTTTTTTTTTTGCATCACATTCAATTTCTAGAGCTGGGATCTAGAAATTTTTAGGTGTCTGAATATTCGGATTCTTCAATTGTAGTTGGGGCAACATTCCCGGACTATACCTCATTTGAAAATGCCTTCAAGGTACTGCGAGAAAACAAGACTGCTTGACTTTGGCAGTAACCTTTGTTGCATTTAATCACCCCTAAAGCAAAAACTAAATTACACCCCTCCACGCTCCCCCTCCCCCCGGTTTACTCCTTACAGACACACAGACACTTACACATACAAACACACACACACTCTCGGGCCACTCCATTCGCAAATAACCAAAAAATCTTGAGATCGAAAACCGTTCAGAGAAATAGAGTTCAAGTTTATTTTCCTGAGGGTTTGGAGAAATAGTCAGCCGTGAAAGAAACGATCAGGATCGAAATGGTGGATCATTTGCATTGCGTTGTTGAACTTTGTTTGAACTTGCTTTCGTAAGTAGGCCAACTCTTAGACTCTCGACGGCACTCTAGTCTTTTTCTTCTTCTCAGTTTACGTAGTGTACTGCAGCAGAATCAATCTGGGTGGAAGAAGGGTGCTGCACAATCACAGACAACAGAACCGAACAGTTCTGCAAGTTGCTAAGAAAATAATCAGAGTCGGCAGGCTGCGGTCATGCTGTTGTGTTGCTACCATGACTGACAAAGTGGAAATTATCCCTCATTGACGTCAAACAAGATGGCTGTTACTATAAATATCGGCTAATGGCCTTTAGTTGTCGTTCTCTAGCTGTCCACTTAAGTGCCTCTGTGCCAATGATGGATGATTCAGGGCACTGTGACCGTAGCCTGCAAACTACGTTCACTGCACCAGGAACATGGTGACTGCATATTTTTATTGTAAATCGCCCCACTTTGCCACTTGTCCGATGGCGATGGAACGAAAATTTAGATCTATAGGACTCATAGACTGACTTGGCCTTGGGGTCACGGAATGTGAAGACGGGAATTTCAACCCCTGCGATCGAAAGTGCAAGCCAAGGTAGCTGTTCTCTGTCGGCGTCAGTGTTGGTGTGTTCAAATCGATCTTTGGTTTTCATGCCGGGTATTATTTCTTTCGCTTGACAACGGTTTCCTGTTCATTGGAAATCTGACATCAAGAATTTTGTTGAGATTCCTGTGTGTAGACCTTACAGTCAGTAGAGAAACTATGAATACATTTGGTGGCTTTTAAGAACTAACGGGCCAACCCAGATTTTGGGGGTTTCCAGAAATCTTGCCCTACACCAAAAGTGGGCATTGCTCTACCTACAGGAGAAGTTTGGTTTCAGTGGGGTGTGTACATTTGCTTGGTTATTTTATAAAGAAAACTCTCCTTGTCTTTTATAGAAACTGAACAAGGGGCAAAAACTTTACCTGCGATTTTCTCAAAATAGTATTTTTCGGGATCGCCTCCTTGTGCTTGAAAACGACCATTAATTTGCTGAATACCGTCGAGGAGACCGTGGTCAGTCAGGATGGACTTAGTACAGAATGCATTTTGCAACATAGTGTCAAGTGGACAGCCACCGATGAATATTTGTGTTACTGATTGATTATCTGAGTCAAAGGTAATAATCAGAACGGTGGTCTAGGCTAAGGCTGATTAGAGATAGTGAGCTGAGTGGCAGGAGAAGGAGGCGAAAGTTGAACTTTTTGAAGTTCCGTCTCCACCCTCAATTAGTAGATCCATTTTGTGTTTGTTCAAAGGATAACATGATAATGGCTTTTGTTGTTGACCTTCTGGTAACACCCTCATGGCTCAAGATTGATAGAGTGATAATAGTGATAGATATTTGTGTCACGATGCGATCCTTGAATAAGGCGCTCGTTGACTTTGGGCATGTGGAATTTTTTGTGTCATCTGAAAGTGAAAGCTTTTATTTTTATTCATTTGCCTAGCTTTTTATGAAAAAAATACTTGTCTCTATCATGAATAGAAGTCAAGATTTTGGCAATTAAAGGGGATGGGGTTGCCTGGTTTCAGTGGTACAATTAACAAGAAAATGACAGCCAAAGTTTGGTTACCTCAATTGCTTGAGAGTCTTTGATCACTGAAAAAATATGATACTTTGTGACTTAATCAAAGTTTTTCTGTAAAATTCACAGGGAAATGTATTTTTATATGGGCATAAAAGGTGTTGAGCCTAAAAACAAAATTTCGTTAAAAATTGTCAAACTGGCGGAAAAATACCTGTTTCTTCGACTTCAGCTTTTTGTTGAGTACATGATTTCACCATGATGCTTCACATTTATATTAAATGCATGATTTCTTTCATCACCCTCAATTGGTGGACCCATTTGTGTTTGTTCAAACAGCGCACTTTTCTTCCGAATTTATGACTTTTAGTTAGCGTGACTCAGCAGCCCGCCGGAGCTTCCTGGCAGGTTAATTGGCCCTGAAGCGACTTTGCTTGTCAGTTAAGAAGTTTGAGGTTTTTTCAACTTTTGAAACGATATAATTTCTTTTCCATCTAACACAGCAAACCATTACACTGTTTACTAAAGCTCAATGTCTTGAGATTTTTTTTCGTTGGAATGATAAATTTCTGTGTTTTAGTTTTTGTTCTGAACTTGAAGTGTTTGTGGAGTACACATGTAAAAACGGCTCAATAGATCTCTTAAAAATTTGTGTTAAATTGACAATGAATATTGTGTCTGATTTCACCACGTTGCCTCATATTTTTTCTCTCATTCACTGTTTTCAAAATGATTTAACAATTTAGCGTTGCCAACTGTAACGTGTCTAACGGTCATCAGCAGGAGAAGACACCTAATACTTTAAATTGAAAAGTAGCTAAAATTAAGTCAGCCCAGCCAGAGCGGCGACATGGAACTGACCCTTTTGACCCTGACATCATAAGGCGCTTGACGGGAACACACACACACACACACACACACACACACACACACACACACACACACACACACACACACACACACACTCACACACACACACACACACGCCCCTCCCCTCTGTGACTAAAATTCCACTGCTGGTGTGCCATGCAAAGTATAAATAGTGACTTGTGATGTTAAACTTCTGATAATACCCGATCCCACTATGGCTCAGGATCAATAGAGAACTATTAATATTATGTTGTTGGATATTTAATTACTGTGTATCTTGATTTCTCTCTGTTTATTCTCTGTAGAGAAGATGTTATGCGAAACAGCCAAACACAGATGCCCAAGTCCAGTGTGGAAATGGAAGAGTATGTCTTCCAGAAGGCCCACACCAGGGTAAGTGAATCGTGCACTGGAATCTGAAACTACTTTAATGTACCTACCGAGATATTTTTGCAAGCACAGGGAATGAGATGTTTGATTATCTGTCCTGAGGAGGTGGAGATGGTATGGGGATGACAATGAGAAACTTCTTATTGGAGGTGAACACTTTTTTTACCAATGTTAAAAATGAGCTGTATAGCTTAAGATCTGCCACTTTTCCTTCCTATATGTCCACTATACAATAACACATGCATTTCAGTATGTGTACGTTGTTGTTTATTTACGTAAAAAGTGTATAGTTTTATTTATTTATTTTTGAGCATGTGTTTAAGACTTACTAACAAAGAGGTATCGTTATGCTTTTTCACAGGATGAGTATCTTGATCTGGTAGCCCGAGTTCTACTGTCCGTCTCGGAGCACAGTGAGTAGAGAGATTGGTTTATTAGAGTTTAGGGTGTATTGTGTAGAAAGAAACTGACAGGGAGATGAGAAAGATGGAGAGAGAATGAGAGGCCTGCTGCGAGGAGGGAGTGGGGGCAGTTACAAGTTCTGTAAAAGTCACATTAAGACAAAACAAAAGACCCCTCATTTTCTTGTTCTCTAATTCTGTGTTTTTGAGTCTATGTGCCCCTCTTTTGTGGAACTAAACCCTAAGCTTTGCCTTTTGTGTAAGTTAGTGTTGAAGTTAAAGTAAATACATAGGTTTTTACTCCCCATTGACACCATTTAGATCTGTGTAAGTCAGTGCGTAGTCCCTTTTACAAATATCTAGGCAAACTGAATATCATTGGCTGCTTGCTGGAGGTGACTACAGTTGAACCTGCTCGAACGGCCTATTGTATAAAAGACGATCACCTGTACTAATGGCCGCTTCCGATATCCTACCTCTGGCAGTTGTTATTTTTAAATATTATCATGGCACTGTGTAAGACAAGACGATCACCTTTCCATGACGACCACTTTTCTCTTCGGCAATGGGCGACCATCCTAGACGATTTCAACTCCATGTCTAAACTCGTTTTTGTTTTGAGAAAAGTGGATTGTTATAGCAAGGTGTATTAGGAATCTCATCTCTTGAACAAAGCAGGATCAGGGTGGGTGGTTGGCGGGTGCTCTGGTGTGGTTTGCTCCTTCTTTCCTGTCAAACATCTATCGTCCTTATCTCGCCTCATTTTCTTTTTTGTGTTTATTACTCTCTTGCACTACCTCTAATCTTCGGCACTTATACAGTGGTGTCCAAGAAAAGCTTGATGAAAATGTAATCATCTAGTCATCGTGTTAAAGCCTTGCTCTACCCACTCATGTACCATACCAATTTAAAGCTGAATTCTGCATAATCTGACACACTGATATTACATCTATTTTACGAGACGCCTGATATATGGTCACTCAAAATTGACCTTAAAAAATCAGGCTTGGCAAAATCTTGCGAATCAAAGAAACATAAAATTGTGTTCACTCATGTTTTAGGAGCATCAGTATTGAAAGAATGGACTTATATTGCATATCCAATGAGTGGGGAAATTTGTCTCTGTAATAAACAATACTTTTTTACGATATTTTGTCACAATAGGTTCAAATGAAACGGAAAACAGAGCAATCACAAATATCATGTAAAACTTGAAATGGACATTAAAATTTAATGTTCTCATTGTTATTTTGGTTAGGGGCCACTGGTTTTGTGTAGTGCATGCATCCTTTGTGCATCCACTCTATCACATTTTGGATATAATTATCTGTCATTTCATCCCAAATGTCACTGAGAGTTGCAAACAACACAGGGTCTGAAGTTGGAGCAAAGTCGCTATTCTTCCGCTGCTGTTTCATGTGATTTCACGTACCTGTAGGATTTATATCGGGGCTATTTATTGGTGTCCACTCCAACGTTGATTTGATTTGGTTTTCCAAGAATTGTCTAGTGGCACTGACACTTTGAGAAAGTGCTTTACTATGCACGGCTCTGTTTGCTTGAATGACGCCATGACGAAAATGTGAGGTAGCATGGTGGAATCAGGCTCTTGTCAATTTTTGGGTATATAGAGTTATTGGTATCATCTTAAAGCTAGTGCATTTGTCTTGCTTTCAATGAAAAAAATTACCCACCAATCTTCAATGGAAGTGGAGATATTTTGGATTGAAGGAGGTGGGGGTAACCTGATTTAAGAGGTAAAATTAGCGAGAAAATGGCCGCCAAAGCTTGGTAAATTCCAAAGCTGGAGAGTCCATGGAAACTGTAAATTTATATTTGTTTGCCTTTAATCGACGTTTTCGGTGAAATCCTCAAAGGAATGTGTTTGTAAATGGACATAAAAGGTGTTGAGCCAAAAAACAAAAATTTGATAAAAATTGATAAGCATGTTTTCTTCGATTTCATTATTTTGACGAGAGCCTGATTCCACCACGCTACCTCACAAATAAAAGTAAGACATGACGTTCCAGCACTTGCGCGATGTGGTCCAGCAATAGTAAACAAAGTAAAGCCATCCGGTGATTCTCACATGGGCGATTTTGTGATTCCACCCCTGGCCACCCATGACCATGGCAGTTTCGTGGCCTCTGTCTGTTCCTCACTGGCAGATAATTATGTCCCAAATCGTTCTCATGAACACTTGTAATTAAGTCTAGGTTTTGCACGGTATTTGTAACTGCTCTGTTTTGCAATCTGTTTGGAAATATCATCAGAAAATACTGAACGTTCGTTTTAGAGACAATAATATTCTCTTTTCTTTTGATATATAATGCATGCCCATTACACCCCTTAATATACGTGCGAACACAATTTTACGTTTCTTTGATTTTGCACAATTTTGCCAAGCCTGAATTTTTAAGGTAAATTCTTAATGATCATATCTCGGGCGTCTCTTAATATAGATGAAATGTTAATGAGTCGAATGATGCAGAATATATCTAGTTTTTAATTGGTATTCCGCATGAGTGGGTTGTGCAAGGTTTTAACTCCATGATTTGGTGATTATATTTATATTTTCGAGTTTCTTTGATATGCCACTATATAATGAACTTATTGAGTTGCAAGTGCCGTAAAACTCTTACTATAAATGAAAGAAGAAGAAGGATCGGGGCGTGTGATGGTGGCAGCGCTGATTTGTGGATTGGTTTTAAATTTATAGACCTGATGGAATGTTATTTGAATGTCATGACTGCCCTATTTTTAGCATTTTTGCTCAAAATTGAGACGCAGCGGTCATTTTGGGCTCTGGGTCTTATTCTATGTTTTAGTCTTATATCATGTTTGTCGCCATCTCTAGGATTGCAGTCGCATCCACCCCCCTCCCCCTTTTTTAACGCTGGCCTTGCTCCTTTGTCCACTAGCTTCCTTTTCCACACTTTCTCTCTCTCTCTCTCTCTCTCTCTCTCTCTCTCTCTCTCTCTCTCTCTCTCTCTCTCTCTCTCTCTCTCTCTCTCTCACACACACACACACGCGCGCGCACACACACACACACACACACACACACACACACACACACACACGCACACACACACACACACTCAAACATACACTCTCACTCATTGTCAGTCTGTCTCTCTCTCTCTCTGTCTCTCTCATTCTCTCTCTCTCCCTCTCTCTCTCTCACCTTCTCTTCCTCTCTCTCTCTCTCACTCTCTCTTCCTCTCACTCACTCTCTCTCTCTATTTCTCTCTCTCTCTCTCTATTTCTCTCTCTCTCTCTCTATCTCTCTCTCTCTCTCTCTCTCTCTCTCTCCCCCCTCTCCCCCCTCTCCTTGTCCCTCACTAATATAATGATGATATGTTTATACAATACTGTATATTCCTGTCTTTCCCCCCGCTATTCAGCTGTGTTTCGTTGCCATGACGCCAGACTCTCATTATTAACCCGTTTGCGCCTCTGTCAGCTCTGGCGTTGTTGTAACTTCCAAGGAGTACTAGATACAGTACTCCTTGGTAACTCCGTAAAGTTGCACAACAGACGCTCTCGTTTGAGGGGGGGGGGCAATATTTACTTGTTTATGAATAGTGAATACTTATTATTACGTGTCATGCTACTTGTGTCTGGATGTGTGTGTGTGTGTGTGTGTGTGTGTGTGTGTGTGTGTGTGTGTGTATGTGCGCGCGCGCATGTGTGTGTGTGTGTTTGCCCAAACTTAATTAATTTAAAACTTATTATGTTCTATGAAGTTGAGGTTTTTAATTTTGTTAAATTATTTTTTTTTGGGGGGGGTTGTTTTTGTTTTTTGTATTTTTGGCTTTCGTATCGGAGATAGACACAAGAGGGGTTTTATAGCTATTCCAAATTCACACGGTTACGTTGTCTTGCCATTTTTCACTGTGACTCCTTCATCATGGGTGTGGGTGTTTGGAGGGCGCCACTGGTAGGTCCTACTCCTTTACTTTCCCCTCTGTTGTTTCTGTCTGTCTGTCTTACCTTTTCCCAGCACTAAATGACCATTATTAGGTCGATGGATGTGCTTCTCTTTACCCATACAAACAAACAAACAATCCTTCATGAGTGGATGAACGCAGTCAACTGTAGTCCTATTTCCTTACGGTCTCGCGGCTGTGGGAGGCTGGAGGGCGTCACTGGTGGGTTCTACTTCTTTGCTTTCCCTCTATTATTGCTTCTGTCTTTCTGTCTGTCTGTCTGTCTGTCTGTCTGTCTGTCTGTCTGTCTGTCTGTCTGTCTGTCTGTCTGTCTGTCTGTCTGTATCACTTTTCCCCGGCACTGAATGACCATGCTTGTGTTGATGTGCTTCTCTTTACGTGGGTGGTTGGCGGGTGCTCTGGTGTTGTTTGCTCCTTTCCTCTTTAACATCTATCGTCCTTATCTCTCCTCCTTTTTTACATTTGGTGTTACTCTCTTGTAACACCTCTAAACGTCGGCACTTATATGACCTTATTGTGTTGCAAGTGCCGTAAAACTCTTTGCTAAACTAAACTTCTCTTTATAAGAAGGGAGAAGGAAAGGCTTGTAGAATATAAACGATAGGAAGACAACAAATGGAATGGTCTGGGTGAAAATTGAGCAGGTGGAGAAAAGAGGTTGTCCGATCATCCTCTCGTAGGCTATGAGATAAGAAGAGAGCGTATCTTTACTGAAACAAATAAACAAGCCTTCCCCCCCCCCCCCCCCCCCCCACACACACTTTTTTTTCTAAATTAATGGCCATTGTGACTTCAGTGTCCGCATGTTCGCTCTTCAAACCGCAGTGGGTGGTGACCTTGATGTGGGTGAGAAAGAGTTAAATTGGGCAGTGACGGTCATCACAGACTTATATTGAGCGAGTGGGAGAGAGAGGGGGGGGATAAGTGAGAGACTGATTTGAGAGCGGGGGGCGTGAGACACACGCAGAGAGAGAGAGAGACGGGAGAGAGAGACGGGGGAGAGAGAGAGAGAGAAGGGGGGAGACTGATGGGGGAGAGAGAAAGGGGACTGATGGGGAGGGTGGAGAGAGAGAGAGAGGGAGAAACTGCTTTTGGAAGGGGTGGGCATGGGGAGAGAGAGAGAGAGAAAGAGTAATAATTACCACCTGCCTACAAGCTCGTCTCGTGGTGTCCGGTAATGAGTGACCAGTAGATAGATAGTTAGTCTTTGATTCCTCTCCTGTCCTCCGCACCACGCTTGCCCGTCGTCTTTGTCGTGGACGAGCGGCTCAGGAGCTTACTGTATGGCAGTGTGTGTGGACTGTGAGTAGATGCTGTGGCTGGTGATGTGTTTGTTGTTGGTGGTCGTGGTTTGTTGATGGCTGGTTGGTGGGTGCTCTGGTGTGGTTTGTTCCTTCTTTCCTATCAAACATCTATCATCCTTATCTCTCCTCATTCTTTTTATGTATGTTACTCTCTTGTAACACATTAATCTATTCTTCGGCACTTATATTATGACCTTGTTGTGTTTCGAGTGCCTTAAAACTCTTACAAAAATTAAAGGTGTTTTGTTGTTGAAGTTGTTGCTGTAGTTTACATTTGTTGTTGTTTTTTGTTATTGTGGTTGTTTGCCGTTGTGGTGGGATGGTGGTAGGGATTTGTTGGAGTGTGTTACTGCTGTGTCCAGTGTGTTACTGCTGTGTCCAGTGTGTTACTGCGGTGTCCAGTAATGAGTGACCAGTAGATAGATAGTTGGTCTTTGATTTCTCTCCTGCCCTCCGCATCATTGTCGTGGATGAGCGGCCCGGGAGCTTACTGTATGGCACTGTGTGTGGACTGTGAGTAGATGCTATGGCTGGTGATGTGGTTGTGGTTTGTTTTTGGTGGTAAGTGTTTTTACGGCGCTCGCAACTTCATAAGGTCATGTGAGCGCGCGGGACACACCTAATATTTTCAGTTGGAAGGAAACTTTGAATTTTGCCCGGGTGGCGGCCGAAGCCTACTCTTATCGATTTTAGACCACCAATGGATCTTTAACGTGCGCAACTTGCACATGGATCCTCCGAGATTTTTCGCCCTTGTCCGAGAAGGCTAGGTGTAGATCTTTCCTACCAGAAGATCAGGGGCGTGGCAGAAAGACAACAGTTAGGAGGAGCCAAGGAGCAGTAGAAAGGCTGCAGAAAGAGTCAGGAGTGAAGAATAGGGGTTAAAGGTGGTGAGGGGTGGGTGCAGAAAGTGGAAACGAAAGCAGACAACAGAACATTGCTAGAGAGCAGGAAAGGAGGTGAAAGGAGACACTTTTAGAGAAGAAAATTGTTGCGG